AGATGTTCGTAGGTTACTAGTATTCGATCATAGATGTTTAAGAAGCATTGCTCGTATATCGTGGGACAACCGAGTAAGCAATGCTGTCGTTAGGAAACGAGTACTAGGTAGGGATGGTAGATCGACAGATGAAGTAGTGAAACTTCATCAGTTGAGATGGTTGGGACATGTGTTATTTATGCCTAACCACCGACTGCCTCGACGTGCTATGTTTTGTGGTGTAGGAGTAGGTTGGAAGAAAGCTAGGGGCAGCCAGACCAAAACATGACAGAAATGCATGAAGTCATTGACAAGTAGACTGAGTGATGTTGGTGGATGTAGACTACCTGGTTTGGGTCCGCGAGACGAAAGTCACCAACGTCACTAATGTGTTATGGCAACATGAACTTATGTACATACGCACGTAGTTCTACGTTGCAACTGACTGACTGAACTAATTGAAGAAATGAATACAGTCATCTATTCTCAACTTGAAGAATTGTCAAAATGATAATGTTTTGATTATGTAAATTCTTAAAAAGGATCTTTAATCCTTGACAATGATAACAATAATTTTATTGTTAGGTGCATAAGGTATAATTAATCAGTAGATGAATGAATGATTTACCACGTGTGAATAAATTTTGGTGATATAACGTTTTATGAACTGCACTAAATTCCCAAATGTCGCTCTTGCTGATATCAGATTTTCAGGTTTAACAAACAAGTGATCGATTAGAATTTCTTCTTAATTTACCAGTATCTCATCATAAGTATGTTGGACGGTTACAAATAACTGTTCATTTTACTCCTGTTAGTGGGACATAGATTGGAAATAAAAAGTATGATTGCGTTGCTGCATGCTGATTGGCTCTTTCGTATCCAATCAGCGCTAGCCCATACTGAGGCAACATTCTAGAATCTTCTCCTGTAAGAAAACTATAAATATACTAACGTCTTTTTCCCTTTGGAACGTCTGTCTTCCACCTAAACTTATTATTGGGGTATAATCTATTTTTTTTCTGTTCAACCGTGTGTTCTGATTTCGGAAGAACGTCTCGAGTAAATTGGTGTCCGAGAATACTAAGCATTAGTTAGAGGAATAGCTGGGTTGTAATAATAAGAGAGAGAATTATAACAACTCCCCTTTAAAAATCCTGACTAGATTGTCTGTCGACATAATTTTTGAGACTAAATTCATTAAACAATTAGTAGATCAATTTTGAGTCAATGAGCCTACTGATTATTAGTTTTCTTTAGTACTAAATATTCCATATATTTGTTTAGAAATAAATAAAACCTAGATGGACCGATCGAGCGACTAACTAGTAGGCGATAACACAACAACAATGACAAACTCATATGAAGAAAGCCACAAGTTACAATGACATTGATTTCGATTGACTGTAATATTTCTTGTTGTTGCATAGAGAGAAGGTCTCACCCGAGTGAGCAACGCTGTTATTAGGGAACGAGTGCTAGGTAAGAATGGCAGACCAATAGATGAAATGCTGGAACTTCATCAGTTGAGGTGGTTGGGACATGTGCTGCGTATGCTTAACCACCGACGAGCTTTGTTTTGTAGTGTAGGAATAGGTTGGAAGAAAGCTAGGGGCGGCCAAACCAAAACATGACAGCAATCCATGAAGTCATTGACAAGTGGACTGAGTCATGTTGGTGGATGTAGACTACCTGGTTGGGGTCCGCGCGATGATAATAATCGGTGGTTAGATACCCTGAATGACGTGGCCCAAAACCGTTTGCAATGGCGCAGATGCATTTATTTTTTGGGTTATCCCAAATCCTAACCTTCTAGATTCTTCAACACCTCATTTTTTGTCTTTCTCAACTTATCTCACTGAATCATACTTCTTGAATAATATCTTCTAATCCTAACCTCTCCGATTACTTCTAATACCTTCACTACCTCTTCTACTATTGGATTTGAATGTTTACAAATATTCTCGACGATGAAAAAGATTTAATTGGACCGTGGTATTGAGACTTCACAAAATATACGGAAGTAATCAAACAGTAGTTATTTATGACAGGGATAAAATGAAATTGATGATCGAATTGTTCTGTTTGATTACATTACTGCGTCAAGTAGATCTTGTAGCTTTCCTGTGTAGTCGATAGTTCTTAGATTGTAAATACCCCTATCCACAGTGAGCAAAACAGTGATCGATTGATTGTAATACACAATTGTATGAGCAATTGACAGGCAGATTAAAGGAGGACTGATATTCTGAGTCAAGTTTAACCATAGATGGAAAGACTGACCATTATCACCAAATGAAAAGTATTTGCAGGTTATTTGGGTATTAGTTAATGAAGCACTCACTCATTGACTACACTTCAAGATTGTCACAAGAATTTTTAAGCGTGTTGAATCGTAGAAATTCACTCTTATGGACGATCATAATATAGATACTATCTCGAATTTTTCATGTCAACATGATCAGGTGGAATTTCATGCACTACAACAGCAAACAGACAGAGACAACGCAGAACTTCGTACACAAGTACATCAGTTCAGGTTTCCATGCCCCATCAACACAGAGATGCAACTGTCAGTCCAAATCCAAGAGTGATAGTGATAGCAGAAGTTTTAGCAGTAATGGAGAAGATTAGGGAGCGAAGATATGATTCGAGAAGTATAATTCAGTAAGATAAATTTAGAAGGAGAAAGGTAGAGATTATGAGGAACGCACAAGCTTAAAATTTCATAGAACACAAAGAGTGGAAGCACCTGCGCAATTGCAAACGATTCTGAGCCATGTCATTCAAGGTATCTAACCATTGGTGACTTTCGTCTCGCGGGTCCCAACCAGGTAGCCTACATCTACCAATATGACTCAGTCCACTTGTCAGTGACTTCATGGATTTGTGCCATGTTTTGGTTTGGCCGCCCCTAACTTTCTTCTAATCTACTCCTACACTGGAAAATATAGCTCGTCGCGGCAGTCGCTGGTTAGCCATACTACAACAGCAGTGTAGATGGTAGAGTTTACGCCTTCTTTTCAAATAACTTGCTGTACAATGTAGTGTATGCCTAAGGTATTGAACTATGAGCGGATTTATAGTGAACTGCATAAACTGTAAAAGTTTACTTTCAAAATCATACCAAAAGATTACTGGATTATATTACAGATAATTTTCTCCACATGCAAATTTATCATATATAAAGTAAGCTTAGATAGTAATTGAGTATTTTATTGTACTCATTCATATTTCATGTAACTATACGCATTATGGTATCGCTGTAATTGGTTTTAAAACAAAAGTTTAGGAAACAGAACGGAACAATAATTCAAATAGGTAATATTGATTTGGATAACAAGCCTTCTACGGAAGATTCAACAACAAAGATGTATTCGTTTTATGACAGTCAGTTACAACGTAGAACTTTGTACTTATGTACATAAGTTGAGGTTACCATACCGCATCAGCTTACAGACGCAATTATCGGTTCGAATCATATAGTGGTAGAGATAAAGGTAGAGGTGTTGACGAATCTAGAAGATTAGGATTTGAGAGAACACAATGAATGAATGAACCTGCGCCGTTGCAAGTGATTTTGAGCCATGTCATTCAAATTCTCTAACCATTGGTTAGTATCGTATCGTGGACCCCAACCAAGTAGGTAGTCTACATTTACCATCATGACACAGTCCAGTTGTACGTTTTATGACAAATATCCAATAGACGAATGGCTGATAACCAAAAATCGTCTGAACAAATGATTAATGACATTATATTCGTTGGGGACGTTAGATCCCTACATCTCACTTAATTAAGGTCATAATTTTGGATTTTATGTTTTCGGGCATCGGCCAATCAGTTGACACTGAGATTACATTTCCCACCGGGAAAATCCTTGACTGTCATTGGTCGGTGTATTATTATTTTAGTACGCTATTTTTGTAGCTCTTCCAAGGACGTTTCTATCATGTATAAATAAACTCGATTTGTGTGCTTTTCAACCTCTTATTTCCTGGATGGTTGTAGAATACACTTTCTATGCCATATCAAGTCTTCTTCTACTTAGTGGGGCATTGCGACGCTCGGATTAGAGTGGCCTACCGTGTCACTGGTTCATTTGTCATCGCTCTCATTTACTACCGACTAAGGTGAACTCGTAATAGTTTCAAATATATCAATTGACGAGCATAATAATTTATCAGCATTTGGTTGTACTTTCTTCCTTTCCTTTGTTACTTGACAATTACATTTATTTGTGTAACTTGTATTAATTGTACTGCCCAATTTTATCAGTATTCATGTTTAATAAATAAAGTTGTAGAGATTATATCTATTTACTAGGTGGGGGGCATCATATTGATAATTCAGTTGTTGTAAGCAGCTCAAACATTATTAAACGGAATCAATTCAAACAGTCGATCACAAAATCTATACAATTCGTAGAAAATCTCCTGCTACAATAGTTTGCACAATCAGGTAATATTAATGTTTTCATAAGAAACATTAAGCTTAAAGTAAATTGAATAAACTTTAGTTGGCTAATATATCCCCATACCACTAACACAGTATTTCATTTGTGGTGTATACTACTGACAACGTAACTTATAAGTAGGATGCGATGGAGTGTCATCCTAAAGTTATTCCTGAAGCAACATCGGATCCGATTGTATAGGGCGACCAGAATGTGGATGTAGACAGACGAAAATCCAGTTATTTTCCAAAAGGAAGTCTAAAGATAAAATGTACACATATTTCTCGAAAACTGTGTTTCCCTCAAATAAATCACTTATTCCACATGATCTTACCGTCTTCGTCCATTACATAATTATCAAGCCATCTAATGTCAAGTCTTACATAGAATTAGATAACAAAGCGAAAATCTTGAGATTAAAGCGTTCAAATATGATTCTATCACGAGTTTTTTTACTGTCAAAAACAATCATTGGTGATGGGATTAAACAGGGACGAGACACCAATGAAAAGACTCTTGGTAATTAACTGAAAAACACCAAGTCAAATATCGAAAAAAACTATATCTGTACATACATACAAATTAAACCACTCAGGAAAAAATTCAAGTGTTTATCGATCTCGAACAGGCTCAAATTTATAGACGGGTGGTGCTGTTTTGCTTCCTTTGAATACAGTTTTGTATCCTCTTTTAGTTGAATTTGCCTAGTGAAAAAAACGCACTTCAGATAGTTAGATATAAAAGAAAGGAATATATACTTTTATAGAAAGAAAATGAAAAAAAACTCAAAGTTTGACTCGGATTACCATTGTTAGGATATTCACCAAATATCCTAAGAATACTATTTTTAGAAGTACAATCCTATTGGCCGAAATTATGATCGTTCTAACCGTCAAGGTCAAATACTTCGATGTTGCTTTTTATTGGTCATCTGGACTATCAGTGTCATTCAAATGTTCTTTACTATTGGTCGGCCTAAACTGTCAATGTCACAGACGTTGATCCTCTTTCTTATTCGACCTTAGTGTATAAATACGCACTATCTGAAAGACTTAATAATTCCGTTTCCCCTGCCTACCTCTTCTTCTGTATTCGACCCAATAAACAACTTCCTTCCACGGTGTTGCGTTCTGATATCTAGGAGATTTGGAAATAGCATTTTGGGTCGTATTGGGATATTTGAATTGGACGCCGTTAGGACTGAAGAGCTATACGTAGCAGCGTTACAACAACCATTTCGGAGTTTTGCATAAGCATTTAAGTATATAACAACAAACGTTAAGCTCATCTTGACACCCTAATTCAAACTGACGTGAGAATAAGGTGTCTAGATGAACAAGACATTGTTCTACAAAGTTTTATGTTGTCTCTTTGAGTTGAGTGATGAAATATAACATTGGTGATCGGTATTTATAACGTAAGATATATTAAAACGCTAACATATGAACGAAGAATATTCCTTTGAATAACTTCTCTTCCGATTCTACAATTATATGTCCAAATTATTAATCCAAAAACTAGCTAAGTTTAAAGCAAAATACATCTTTTCCAAACTATAACATGTGAAATGAAATTGTTTGATGTTGAGATGACTAATATGCACTAAATAAGCTTATGTTACTTAATTAGTAACGTTAGTAGTATGAATGATAATGTGAAAAAAAACAAATTGCAGATTTTTGTTTCAGTTTGTATCGAATGCTTTTCAAGTTGCTTCTTATTATTTACATTATTTTAAGGAACACAAACTTCCGGATTCTCATGATTGTACAAGTAACTTCATGAAATCTGTTCATTCAGGCATATTAGAACTTCACCTGTAAGCATTTTAGGATTACTGCCGGTCCTGAGCTTGAATAAAGGAAAAAGGTTTAGCATGGGCTAAGCAACTCTATCTCATCGAAGAGAAACCAGTGGACAATGCTACACAGGAAAAGTAATTTTGACCATTTAAAATCTTCCATGCGAGTTAAAGGATTCTCACTGGATGATTTATATCGCCTCATGCTGAAAGTTGATTCTTCGGAAGTCACGAAGGTGATGTCTATCTTGACAGCCAAAGGTAACAACATATATAGGTAAGTGGGATGTATGGACAAGGTAAAATGCTACGAGGACCATTTTGTTGGCCGTGAAAATGAGAAGACCCAACGTAGAAGCGTTTAGAATAGGTGAAACCCATTTAATGAAAGCTAGATGGAAAAACTAGCTTCAGGAAACATCCTGTTGTATCATGGTAACGAAGAGAATGCCGCGCATACATATGGAGTTTCGATGAAGCCCTCCAGAAAAGCTCTTATAGGATGGAAATTTTGTGTATCGAGGATCAAAGAAGCATTCTTATCTAAATAAAAAGTTAACTGCAAGAAATATTCCTACAGACCTTATGATAAAAGTCATTTCACCAACAATCAAAGAGTTTAGTGTGGACATCAGGCAAATCGAGTGGCGAACCACCAAGACCAGGTAGCATACACACAGAGGTAACTGTAATGTTCTCTGTGTTCTCTTCAGAAATATTTGGGAGAGAAAACAAGTACCAGTAAACTGGAGAGAGGAACACCTCATCAAAATATAGAAGAGCGAAGATTTGAGTAATCATGAGAACGGAAGAAGCATCTAACAATTATAAGAGGCAAGCAAATTTTTCAGCAAAGTGTAACTGAAGCCACAACTTTTAGACCAACAGACTGACTTTTATAAGGATCAATCATCTGCCAACTAAATTGCAATACCGAGAATCATATTTGAACAATCAATCGAATGGAACTTTTCGCTATGCATAAACTTCCTTGATTGTGGGAAAGTGGTCTAAAACGTGCATAGGATGACTGTGTAGAATCACCCTTCATACAAAGAAGTTCCTGAGAAGATCGTTACGATAACACGAAACTCTTAAAAGGGACTGAACTACAAAGTTGTGCATGGAGAGCTTCTAACCGTCCCATCCCAAGTGATGACTGGTGTCAGACTAAGCTACTTACTTTCACCTTTTTCCTAACTGTTGACTGGATTGTGAAGACCTTCGTAATTCATGGGAAGCATGAAATGCAAACGAGACCTTAGATGTAGCTAGACAATCTGAACTTCGTAGATGACTTACTCTAATTCTTTCTCTTACATAACGACAAATGCAGAAAGACGACTGACAGTGTAAAAGCAGCTTCTATAGAGTTAGACTTCGACATTCACAAGGAAAAAGTCAAATCCTGAAATACGGCACATCGAGCACCAACCACACTATTTTTTTAATAGTGAAGTTCTGGAAGTCATCACGAGCTTGAGTAACACATCAGTGATAAAAAAGAATGATTTGATGCAATTGTGAAGGCAAGAAGTTACGTATCAAGAGTAACATTCCTACAACTGAAAAGTATCTGGGAATCGGAACAGCTGTCAGCCAACATCAGTCAGCATTTTCGTCTCCTGCGTCGCAACAGTTCTATTTATCAGAGATGCAATATGGAGAACTACCAACATCATCATCAACATCATAAAAAATTGAAGGTATTTGTAAAATGCTGCCTGCACAAGACATTCTGTATCTGTTGGTCATAAGCCATCAGCAGTAACCTACTCTGCTGGTGGACAAGCCAGCTGTCAGATGAGAAGGAAATCATAAAAAATGCTGAGGGTGGATAGGTTACACTTTACGGAAACCTTTAGTCTGCACATTATAAGCCGATCCACAACATGGAATCTTCAAGGCACAAGGAAGTGAGATAGATTCAAAGAAGAAATTGTGACAACAATTGGAAACAGTCACATGAAGAATGAATAGCATTAACAAGCACCTAGAAAGGAGAGTCTAGGCCAGAGTTAGTATGGAATTTCTGATAGAGGACATATGTTTCACTAACAGTAACAGGAGTAATTAAGCTTATTGTATTCGATTGTATAGCGTTTAAAGATGAACTTAAAGATAGTGTGAGACGAATGAAATGTTAGGCGAACAGAATCATAATTATGAATTAGAGATGCAGAATAAATGTTAGTATAGACGGCATAAAGAATGATAAAGGACTTAACTTCATTATATGAGGATTTTTCGGTTAATGAAGTGAGGTGCGCTGTGGTATTCTCTAACAATTGAGCTAGTAGGATTTATTCACACTTAATGAACAACCTATTTTCTATCTAGAGTTTGATTGGCTGTTGTCTTTTACAGAGCTTTATTTTGAGTGACAATATGTTTAGCCTGATCGCCAACTTAGCAGTTATTTCTCCTGATAGATTGAGTCGATTTCGGTATGCCAAACGATCGATGTGTAACCTGGGGACTATGCTTCTAAAAATTTCATAGCATTATTTGTGTTTGGTCTACCCAAAGTTTTGAGACTTTCTCGATCGGATTCGTCCCAATTGATGTTAACAAAGGCATGCCATGAAATTTGACAGCTCATTGGTGTTCACTTAGAGTCGGGTCACTTTATCTTATAGTATTCTGGTAATTACCGAAACGTATCCTGTAGATAATGTTTTGCTTATATTCTTTCACCCTTGTGTCCATTTGTGGTGCGCGCTACTTATAAGTAGTATATGACGTGAGTGTCAACGTAATGTCTGGCAGCAGAAGATGGGGGAAGATTAAGAAAGGAAGAGTGGGAACACAATGGAATTTGTATGAACGCATGAATAGTGAGTGAAATGTCAGACAATACATACATACAGTACATACAGTACAACTATTATACTAGTTCAAATATCAGTCAATCAGTTGCAACGTAGAACTTCGTACGTATGTACATAAGTTCATGTTGCCATACCACATTATTAGCACAGAGACGCAAATGTCAAATCAAATCCCATAGTGATAAGGATGGTAGAGGTATTAATGTTACAATAAAGAAGACTAGGGTTTAAGATATTATTCAAAAAATATAACTCAGTGAGATAAGGTTAGAAAGACAAAGGTAGAGGTGCTGGCTAATCCAGAAGATTACGATTTGAGAGAGCTCAAAGAGTGGATGCACCTGCGCCATTGCAAACGATTTTGAGCCATGTCGTTCAAGGTCTCTAACCATTGATGACTTTCGTCTCGCGGACCCCAACCAGGTAGTCTACATCTACCAACATGACTCAGTCCACTTGTCAGTGACTTCATGGATTTCTGCCATGTTTTGGTCTGGCCGCCTCTAGCTTTCTTCCAACCTACTCCTACACCACAAAACATAGCTCGTCGAGGCAGTCGGTGGTTAGCCATACGTAACACATGTCCCAACCACCTCAACTGATGAAGTTTCACCACTTCATCGATTGATCTGCCATCCTTACCTAGTACTTGTTTCCTAACGACAGCATTGCTTACTCGGTTGTCCCACGATATATGAGCAATGCTTCTTAAACATCTATGATCGAATACTAGTAACCTACGAACATCTTCTACTCTTAACGGCCATGTTTCACAGCCATATAAGAGAACGGAACGAACTGCTGCGCAGTACACCCGCCCTTTGGTTAGCGAACGGATATCACGCCTACGCCATAAGTGACGCAGGTTGGCAAAAGCCAATCGAGCCTTCTGTATCCGAGCTGAGATTTCGTCAGTCACCAGACCGTCAGCACTGATGAGACTCCCCAGATAAGTGAAGTGATCAACACGCTCGACTACTTCACTCCCTATCACTAGTTCAGGTGCCGATGAAACCCAGTCTTGAAGCAACATTTTGCATTTCGAGGGGGAAAACCGCATCCCGAACATGCTCGCATTGTTGCTTATGGTAGTCAGAAGACTCTGCATTTTGTCAGCGTCTTCACCGAATAGAACTATGTCATCGGCATATTCTAGATCAGTAAGCGACTTTCCTGGTAGAAGGTCAACCCCTGAGAAATCTGACGAGCTTAATGTTAACTCTAAGAGGATGTCTACGACAAAGTTGAACAAGAATGGAGAGAGTGGACAGCCCTGACGGACCCCACTTGATGTAGAGAATTCTGATGACAGTTCGCCATATGCTCTCACCCGACCAGTGGTGTTCGAGTAGAGTGCTTGTATAAGGTTAATGTACTTCTTTGGTACACCTTTCAATGACAGACACTGCCACAGAACCTCACGATCCACTGAGTCGAATGCCGCCTTAAGGTCTAGGAACACGACTATTGTCGGACGCCTAAATGTGTGTCTGTGTTCCAGGACCTGTCGTAGTGTGAAGATGTGGTCTATACAACCACGTCCAGGTCGAAAACCAGATTGGTTTTCTCGAGTCTGCTCTTCGCGAGCTCTAGTTAGACGTCTAAGTATAATCGAGGCTAACAATTTAGAAACTATATTAGTTAAACTTATTCCCCTGTGATTGTCACAAGAGGACTTCTGTCCTTTCTTGTAGATTGGGACAATTAGCGACTGAGACCAGTCAGATGGGATTACGTCCATTTCCCAGATTCTACCTAGGATCTCGGTCAGTTTAACCGTTAAAACTGGACCACCATCCTTAAACATCTCAGGGGTGAGCCTATCGGGACCTGCCGCTCTACCTCTCCTTAGATTTCCTATAGCTTTCTCAACTTCATTTAAACTGGGAGGACTTAAATCGATTTGCCATTCAGGATGACTGGAGATCGTGGGCAACCGAAGAGTGGCTGAAGGCCAGTTGAACTGATCCCTAAAGTGTTCTGCCCATCGGTCCAGTCTCCTAGATTGAGAATGGATAATAAGACCATCCTTTTCTGAGATAGTCTCACTTACATTCGGGTTCCTAATACCGGTTTCTTTGATAAGGCGGAAAAGTTGTCTAGTGTTGCCTATCGCCGCTGCCTTTTCCATCGCTTTTGCTTTCGCCACCCACCACTGTTCACGGTCGTTACGTAGGCTTTTTATAAGTCTGCGCCTAAGTTGAGTACGCTCTTCATCATGTTCAGAGTCAGGTGGGATGCGTTTTCGTGCATCCATCAGTTCGGTGGATGCGACTGATATCCACGGCTTCATCCTAGCCTTATGGTTTACCTTGCTAGCAGATATCACTGCTGTTTCCACAGCCTTCTTTATATCATTCCAACCTGACTCCGGATGGGAATCACTTGCATGATCGCCCAACTGTTTTTCTAGTTCCTCTTGAAATATTTTCTTAGCTTGATTATCATCAAGTAAAGCCCTAAGAGGCTTCCTTACGGTGTCTTTCCTACGTCCAGCAAGCCTCAAACAAATACGTGCTCGCACTAGGGCATGATCTGAATCTAAACATGTGCTCCAGAACGAGCGACAGTCCTCTATCGAACCCCTCCATCGGTGGCTGATGGCGATATGATCTAGTTGTGTCCAACGTTGAGACGACTTCGGGGGTCGCCAGGTCAAAAGGTGTTTTTCTTTATGCTTAAAATTAGTGTTTGCTAGAAACAGTTGGTTATCTGCGCACAGTTGCAACAGACGGTCGCCATTGTCTGTTCTTTGAGCCGCGAGACCGTAACATCCACCTAGGTGTCTTTCATTTTCACTCAGTCTACCTACTTGTGCATTGAAGTCACCAGCCATTATAACTATATCAGAGCGCTTAACTTTTTGGAGGAGGTCCGAAAGCTTTCTGTAAAACTCATCTTTTACATCATCTGGGCTACAGTCAGTGGGGGCGTAGGCTGATATGACGAAGAGGCAACGGCGAGTGTCCCTATCTTTCCGAGTCCTTACTGTCCCGTTCAGTCGGACGGCGCACAAGCGACTATCTACAGGGATCCAGTCAAGGAGAGATTGTTCTGCCCTACGACTCAATGCTATACCTACACCGGCGAGGCCCCTAGAAGCAGCATCAGGGCTACCGGATACACGAAGGGTGAATCGAGCTGCTTCTTTATCTTGACATGGTGAGGTCAAATGAGTGATGCTACTCGGATCCTGTATGCGCGTTTCCGAGACGCAGCATACATCGATGGAACGAGATTCTAAAGTCCTAGCTAATGACGCCTGTTGCCCTATTTGACACAATGTCCGTACATTGAATGCTCCAAAATGTAGTTTGGAACGGGGTTTAAGGAGACCAGGAACGACGTTTCGCAAACTCGCATCGTTTGCATTAGCTGTGCACTGTAATAAATGAATGTGAGAAGAGTTAGTTGTGGAGATAAGAGAGGTATTAGGGAATGTAGGAAGGATTTGATTTTGAACAATTTTGTCTCGTGTGCTGTTGCGGGTATGAGGGCGGTTATCACTTCCCGGCTGCCCACACCGTGGAAGGTTGTTTCTTGACGAACCTGAAAAGGAAGATGGATTAGTGTTGGTGCGTGACCGCAGAGTCCAAGGGACAACTGCTTGAGGCCGGTCACGCACGGCCTTTTTATGAAAGGTATTTAGAGGATTAGCTCCGTTCTTAAAGGCCCTTAGTGGGCACCCTTACCCAAGGAGACGGAAATCCGTGAGGTAGGGGAGGTGTGACATTTTTAGGGCCGACCTTTTCTAACCCTTCCTTCCTTGTGAGAAGGCAGCATCGCTGCAGATGCTGGTTGTCCGAGGGAAACACCTTACTGCTGTCACACCCCTCTGCAGTCAGCAGTACGACTTCGCCCTCAGACCTTGGGTAGCTGCTTTTAGTCTCATCGTTCTCCAATCGACCTGCCTGGCATGGTAGGACCTGCAGGAACATGTGTTCCAGCCAGTATAGCTCGGTTGGGTCATCACGATAGGCAAGCCCGACCACCACGTCAAGGTAGCAGCTTCGGTCGGGAAGTACATCAGTGCAGGTTGCCATACCGTATTAGCACAGAGACGTAATTGTCAGTTCAACCCTATAGTGGCAGAGATAGTAGAAGTATTAGCAGCAATGGAGATGAGGGTCCCAGGATATTATTCAAGAAGTATAGTTCAGTGAGATAAGTTTAAAAAGAGAAAGGTAGAGTTGGTGAAGAATTCAGAAGATTAGAATTTCATAGAACACAACGATTGGATGCACCTACACCATTGCAAGTGATTTTGAACCGTGTCATTTAAAGTCTCTTAACCATTGGTTACTATTTCTCAAATATCAACGAACGAATATGTAATGAAGACAAACATACCATAAGATTTTTCTTAGCTTCATGCTGACGTAAAAGATATTTCAACTGTTTAGCTCTTTCTAAACGTTCAGATAATTCTGTATAAGCGCTAAAACGTTGATTATGAATATCTTCAACATAGGAATCGTCGGAAGACATTTTTTCATTGGTAACAATTTTATTCGCTTGTGATTTCTCTGCATATATATGATGTAATTCAATGAGTTCATTATAATCTTCTGCAAATACAATATGTTTAGGTGTTTTTTTTGAACGATAATTTTGTAATTCACTTTGTAAAAAATTAGTTCTTGATTCAAGTTGACGTATTTTAGACATTTCTTTTTGTAATTCATATTGTAGACGTGTAATATTTTTATCAAAAGATGATTTTATTTCAGAATCTGAATAATTTTTTTCCACATTCAATGGAATATGCCCTTTTTCTGCCTTAAATAAAATTAAGCTTTTATGTACAATAATAACAACTTACATCAAAACGAGAATTACACATATTGAAATAAAATTCATCTGTATTCTTATCTAAAGCTTTATTTTTTAACTCTTTTATTTTAGCACTCTTTGATTCTCTATCCCTGAAACAAAAAAAAAGTGAAATATCTAATCTAATCTAATCTTACTTGGCTCTTAAACGAAAATCTTGTTTTTTTGGCAGTATCCCTAGATGGCGTCTACGTTGAGGCTAAAGAAAGAGGAAATATTTTTCGAAGGAAAAATAGTATACTTGGGAACGCTCTTTATGTATTCTAGAGAATCGTTTCTGGACATTTTTGAATGATGCGAAAGGCATTGTACAATTGAATATTCTTGATAAATAGCACTGAGCAAATCAACTGGATTGTACTAAGTAGTTTTCAAATGACTAGGTTGAGTCTGAAAAACAAAAATCTCATATGAGTCGTCGGGATTTAAATAATAAGAACAAGTGAAATTCGAACAATATGGGTGAACTAAAATACAAATATATCCTGAATGTTTCAATTGTCGACTACCTGGTTGGGGTCCGCGAGATGATAATAATCGATGGCTAGTAACCTTGAATGACATGGCTCAAAATCGTTCGCAATGGCGCCAGTGCATTTATTCTTTGTGTTCTCTCAAATCCTAATCTTCTGGATTCTTCAACAACTCTAGTTTCGACTCTCTAAACTTTTCTCACTGAATCATACTTCTTAAATAGTATCTTCTAATCCTAACCTCTCCGATTAGTGCTAATACCTTTACTACCTCTTCTACTATTGGATTTGAATTGACGATTACTTCTCTGTGCTGATGTGGTATGGCAACATGAACTGATGTACTTATGTACAAAGTTCTACGTTGCATCTGACTGACTGACTGACTGAATGTTTCATGTAAAACACAAATTTAGTTAACACAATTAGTGACTTCTTTGTGATACTAGAGATTATAAAGCTAAAAAGACTTTTAGACAATAACTTATGAGCCTCAAATACATGTGAAAAGTGGGATGCAACTTCATTTAGCTACCCACCTACTCATTTCCAGTAAACGAACGAAAATTGCTTATGGACACTGACTATTTAACAATAAGTAAACACTAAATATGGTTGTTTGTTGAAGATTATTTAACTCTGAGTAAATAACACTAGGGAAGCAAAGACAAGCTTCGCTAAAAGTTTTAAATAAAATAATATTCGGAAGTTGAAAGTTTTAAATACTAAGACCTAATGGTTTATTCTTGAGGGTCCTACAGTAGTAGAGGTAGTAGAAACATTAGCAGTAATGAAGATTAGGGTTTAAAGATATTATTAAAGAAGTATAATCCAGCGAATTAAGCTTAAAAAGAGAAAAAATGGTCACGCACAATTCCGAGGATTACAATTTGAGAGAAGACAAAGAATGGATACACCTGAGCCATTGCAGACGATTTTCAGCCATGTCATCTAATGACTCTAACCATCGGTTACTATCATTTGACGAACCCCAACCAGGTAGTCTACACCAACAAACATGGCTCAGTTCACTTGTCAGTGACTTTATGAATTTGTGCTATGTGCCAGCTTAGTCGCCCCTCGGTTTCTTCCAGCCTCCCCCTATACTAGACATGATCGCTCTCCGAGGCAGTCGGTGGTTGGATATCCGAAATAAATGTCCGAACCACCTCAAATGATGAAGATCCACTACTTTATCAATTAATCTACCATCCCTACCTAGTACTTTATTCCTAACCCCAGCATTGCTTCCTCGGTGGTCCCGAGATATAAGAGCAATGCTTTGAAGACACCTATGATCGAATACTAGCAGCTTACACAGATTCCATAGGCTTAGTGGCCATGCTTTACACCCGTATAGTAGGACAAAGAGAACTACTGCGCAGTACACTCGTCCTTTGGTTAGCAGGTGGATATCTCGCCTACGCCATAAGTGACGCAGGTTAGAAAAGCCTACCGAGCCGTGCTGAGATTTTTCTAGACACCAGGCCATTAGTACCTCGAACAAAACTGAGGAGTTACCAAGATGAGAGGTCATAATGACAAGCTATCAAGACAAGTTGTAAGGATCAAAGGTAGATCACTTATAGGTTTAAATTACTTTCATTGTTGATAAAACTCTGGAAAGACTTATAAGTCTCGGAAAATAAATTGAAGATAAGGATTTTGAAGAACTCTTACAACAATGTGCTAATGATATGGTAGTGCTAGTAATATCCCTCAATGACCAGTTGGACGGTACGCCTAGTAATTAGATCCAAATTATTGTGGACGGAAGAGCTCCCGATTACCAGGCCTCTGTGTCTAACAGCAATGAGTCACCGAAGCCTCTAGATAGGGAAAGGTATATTTCACAAGTGGAGAAATATTAGCAAATTATGAAATACTACCGTAAGTTCTCAAGAATATACCTAAGTCCCAATTGAAAGATTCCTCAGATGTTGCTGATAATTTCATCCCTCAATCCAATCAAAAGGCTGATGATATTATTCAACATTACTCAGCATTTATGGCGTATGTGCTGTATACCCAATTGCAGTGACTTCATAGTTGACTGAAAGTGGCTCCAGCACGACTTGTGAATGATGCATGAAAATTCCCCATGAATTCATCATTATTTATACTACATGTGACGTTATATTATCATCCAGACCGCTTAAACGTGTTTTTAGCGACCGTGATAAAAAAAACAAGTGGTTGACCAAATGGTGAGACGAAGTTTACGACCAAGTAAAAATAACCAAAATGGACAAAAAAGATATCAGACACACTAATTATACGCTAGAAATATTATCTTGTGGTGGAAAGCCATGAACACCGAACAGTGATTACTTGGAGTGATGCGAAATCCCAGTTATCTACTAATTCGAATAAAATGACTTGGCAAACGGCCTTGAGCGAACGAATCAGGGTTAAGATAACGCCTCGCAAATGTTATTGTTCTAATTGAGTGCGTTTTCAGGAGTGTTTATTGAAACTAGATTGTATCCTCTCTTTCTAACTTTTACTCCTAGTCTCTGCCACAAATTTCTTAAGTTTGTGATCAGTGGCACTACATAATGTCACAAATGATGTAAATACGCAATGTATCCAATATCCAATATCTTTTTCACGAGCTAGTGTAAACCAATTTGATTTCTTCGCTGTCGATTCTTGTTATTTCGGTAAGGTTCCAGGTGTTCGGTAACATCCAATGAGTGGAGGTCTAGCCACTCGACTGTCTAATTCTAGTCAGTTGGCAGTTGGTTGTGAGTTTGTATGTCTCGGGATTTGAATGAAAACGTTTGCTTCAGGGCAGTAGGGTTTCTGGATACTAGCAGCCGTCACATTACCAAACCGGAGATCAGTTAGTTGCAATGTGGAGAGTAATAAGGGTAATAAGAATAAAATTAAACTGATAATATGAATAAAATTTCAGAACTGAGTAATATGTAGATGAATTTAGTTTGTTAATTGGTGGTGAAGATTGTGAGAGAGGACCGAAGTGTAAGCAAGAGAGAAGAAACAGAGATAATAGACGAGATAGATTAACTGAGTGATCTAAGGAGATGGCAATGATAACAACTAGCAGGTCTCAAAATGAGCATCATGAACAGCTTGTCCAAGAGGGAGATGATAGTCCGTATGTGAGTACGTGATTATCATCTCCCTCCTTAAAGCAGTCCACTGGGGTGGCTAAGGTTACCTCGGCTGGGATAGCATTCTAAGTTGCGACGACTCACAGTGAGAAAAAGTCTACACGAATCTGAACAGGCAAACTTTTAATGAATTATGAATATGCCTATATGAATCCGTATATATTAATATATATATATATATACAAGCGACTAGAGCCACCATAAAAAATAGTGGTGCTATTTTTATTTTACATCAGATCATTAAGGTAGGAAATTTCGCCATAATTTTGTAACTGGTGGAGTGTATGGCAGATTTTATTTCTGTAGGTATTGTGAGGAGAGCTATGGAACTTCTGTCACAGCAGGTGCACTTTAAATAGGCTAAGGTAGTCGACAGGTTGATTGGTAATCACCATGAGCCCATCTTCATCGTGATGACCGACTTTATTATGACGCGATCGAGCGCTGCTTGTAGCCGTTTCAGTCAACTCGAAACATGTAATCAGTGACTATGAAATGAATCACTCTATTCAAGCAACTGGATCTCACAAGCCTTCTGCTATTAAGCTTCACTGTGGTATGTATTCTGTGAACCAATAACTAAAGTTAATTGCCTTACATGTGAAAACCAATGGTTACTGATAAGAGCGAAGGAGGCTTCTTTTATTTGTCTTCAGCAATAACGTAGAGCTAGTCGATTTCGACGTACAAACCGCGATAGATGATGGCGTTGCAAGGACATCATTCATCATTGCATCTCGGTGTGAAAATGGAAAGCTTGAATGAAATAGAATACACTACTTTCCCAGTGTTACCATCGTTGATAGTCAGTTATTGTTGTCAATCTTAGTTACTTAACTTCTTCCGTCATCATTGTCAATGGCTTCATAAATTAGCATACCCCACTGATAAACTTTATCACACAAATGACTGTAGATGGCTGACAACAAATATAATGAATTCATATTATGATGTTTCCATCGTCTTTTCGATTTTTTCAAATTCTTGCTAGAAACGAAATCCTGGAAATTTATAAATAACTCATTTGGTCTATGAGATGACAATTGAAAGCTATATTCCTAGTTATCTAGTCGTGTCAATTTCAAAACTTCAGTTGTTTTTGGCCCGGAAAATAAGGATGATCAAATCGAAAGTCATTAAAATAGTTCTTAAGACCCCAAGTAACAACATCCCTGAATGTGGTTTTTGATTTATTTGCGAAGGGGGAGGAATAAATTGATTGGAGGGATGACAGTAATGTATCAAATGTAAAACTATACTGTGAATTCCCTGTCACTGCCAGTGTTAGTGCTTCCCTAGGATTAGCCTCAGAAACATACATGGTGTTGGAATGGATGTACTAACTTACTAACTTACGCATGTTACCCCCAACGGAGCATAGGGTGCTGACTAGTATTCTCCAACCAACTCTGTCCTGAGCTTCCCTTTCCAGTTCTGTCCAATGTTTGTTCATTCCTCTCATATCTTTCTCCATACAACTGAACTGCCTTGACATTTCTATTGAAAATCCTGATTTTGGTGTTGATTGATAGTTGTTTTGAGTTCCAGATGTTCTTCAGGTGTACAAATGCAGTCCTTGTAGAATCCTTTTTGAAGGCTTTGTTTTGGAAAAATCCCTCCATGTATATATTTGTAGTATGTTCTTACTGACTCTTTCTGTTCAATATTTTGGAACTCTGCTTAAACCCATTTTGTGATGTTAATATTTGTATTTTGTTATAGTTTCGATTTTTTGTACCTTTATTGGAGTTTCTATGTTTGCTACTGAATTTTATTACGTTATTTCGGTTGATACTTCATTAGAGCTACAGCCAAATCGGATTTGATACCCTGACGGGTAAAACGTGAATCTGGACTGGAAGGGTGCGAGTTTGGCCCTATACGGAAAATAGTGTAATATTGTTTAGGTAATTACCTGTATTTTTTGATGATTAATATAACCATTTCTTACCCAGATGAATTGCTTTCTATTTGGATTAACTGGGCTAGGCAATTATCTAAACTTCTAGAGCTGTTCTTCCCAATTCAGAATCCACTCTGAAACTTACAGTAGGTGCATAGCTTTGGATGACGTTCATTATAATGTTCTATTTCTTTGTTTTGAAGGATGCTTTAAGGATCCTGGGTCCATGAGATTTCCATCTTATCAGTGCCTTTTGTTCTTGTTTGGACAGCATCAGTGCAACTTCTTGTGTATGTGGAGCATTTTCCTTTTGATGAGCAGAGTATAACTGCAGTTCCCCTGAAGCTAGTCTCAACTGTCCTACCTGTGTCCGATACGCTTCATTCATTTCAAACACATCCAGGTTGTATGTTGCATTTCTGTAGCAACCTGAAATAGTTTGTTGGAGTTCCAGATATTTTTCAACTGTAGAAATGCAGCCCTCGCTTTGCCGATCCGCGCCCTCACATATGCATCGGATCCACCTTGATTGTCGATCAGAATGTCTTGTCTTATTGAGTATGTTCGGGTGATTTTACTTGATAAAAGAACTATGAAAGGAACTGAACAATTCTTTTGAGGGTGAGGATAATTTCGAAATAATGGTAAAAATGCAACGAATCAAGCGACTTATTTTGTCGGAAGGTACTTGGGAGGGTTACGGTTCTACATGAACTGCTAAATTTAAATGTATATGGTGACCAGAACCAACATCATAACCCATTAATGAAATTATTTTCCGACAAACTAAATAACGATATCTAGATTATTTCGAGTAGATAAGGTAATGATGGACATAAGATTATCAACAGCCCCAATAGATAAGCGTTTTCTACTAATGTGGAAATATTCCGATGGATCATGTAGTTTGTTCGGAAGGTGAAAATATTTAAAATGTTGGTAAACATTGCAGGCTTGATTTTTTTCAGTGTCTAGTGTTCCTAGTTCTGGGAGTCAGTTTCGCCTGAAATGAAAAAAATGCACAGTTCCAGTCGGTTAAAGAAATATGAACAAAGGAGTAAAGAATCAATATTGGCACGGTAGGAACTCATGGTATTAAACTAGTTTTCTACTATTACTGTCGATTTTGTTATTTTTACTTTGTTTTAAGACTGTTTTTGTCAAACTTTGGACTTGATGTGTAATTTGTTCATCAAGGAAACTTTCAATTTATCCCTATTTCGGTTCGGTATTTTGCCAGTTTGGCTCTGGAAAACTGGCAACTTAAGAAAGAGTTAATTTGGGTCGGTTGTACATACACGTTTGACACATGTAATGTGAACTTGCTCCTTTTATTCAAGTTTTTAACTACAAGTGTATTAGTCAGCCGCGCTTGTCAAGGTAACAGCTTATATCAAGCGGCTCCTAGTCAACTTTCCGACAAATTCACTCCCGTATAATGCATACCACCCAAGAACTGTGTCGTATACCTACCCTGTTTGTTACAAATTCCTCTGTATCTTACTGTTCCCATTGGTGACATAGTGTAAAATTTTTGGCAGAAATAAACTCTCTTTATTATCCTGACTACGAAGTGAGTATGGTAGCATTTGTAACAATCTGATCTACCGCTTAAACTTTTGTAATAAGTTGCTATTTGAGAATAAGTACATTATTTTTACTACAGATATGCGTTCAGGGGAATTTTCAAACAAAACTTCCGGAAATACTCTTATACTGGCCCAAACAATCCCTCCATGCAACACGCGGCGGTTTTGACACCTTTATTCACATTGGTACTACTTCATCATCGACACCGAAGGGGCTGAGCGGACTTATATCAGCTCATCTATCTGTCCTGCCTACACTAATATATCAAACGAAAAGTCATAACCTTCAAAAGACATAATACATACATGGTTTTTCTAACCACACCATTTTCGCGTGAGTCGTAGATGCTGTGACCTTAACGTTGTTATTTAAATGCTTTGTAACACTACTGAAGGCCACTTTGCACAAATTGAATTATAACCGAAACCACAAGTACCACATCTCTTTCCCTGGAATCGCAGTGTTCGACTAACCATTTTTACTGGTCCACTGAGGAGGTAGGAATTTTCTTAGCAACCTATTTTTAAAAATTTTAGTTCGATAATGACATGTTACCATTGTTAACTATGTCTCCAACAGCAACTTGCTTGACATTTCTGTCTCATTCTGTCAATATTAGCAGAAAATTAGAGATAAAGCCAATTTATCGCCAGGGTCTGTTGTTTAATATCCTTTCAGCCTCAACCAAACTAATGGCCAAAGTTCCTTCAGGCCTAAGTTTATTTCCTGGTGATCAGCAATAATGGAAGAAAGAATCATCCCTTTGCACAATTCAGCCTTATGGCAGGATGATAGTGGGTTACGATGTTCTCACT